TAGCGCGCTGGGGTGAAGGGCTATCAAGTTTGTTCAAATGAGTGACTTCGCCCGACTTTTCCAGGTCACAAGGGTTAAATGAGGTAAAATGTTTAAACAACTTATTTTCAATAGGGGCCCAGAGACCTGATATTGTGCCTGTAGCATGCCTGAATAAAGGACTACCAAGTTTGTTCAAATGAATTATCCTGCCTGCCTTTCAAGGTAACAGAGGTCAAACGTGCTAAAATCGTAAAACAACTTCCCAATAACTAAGAGGACCATGATATTGAGCCTATAGCATGCCTGGATGAGAGGCTACGAAATGTGTTCAAATGAATGACATTGACTGACTTTCAAGGTAACAGGGGTCAAATGTGCTAATATCTTTAAATAACTTCTTCTGATCAATAACCAAGAGACTACCAAGTTTGTTCAAAGGTCACATGCCATGGGTCAAATGTGCTATGTTTGAATAAAGTGGTAATGAGCTTAGCATCCACACTAATGACCTAATCAGCTTCAAAGTTGCATTAGAAGCAAGTGAGCGAAACAGGCCCATTGGGCTTCTTGTTTAATTTCTGCACAATATCTAATGGTTGGATTGCTTTCAGACTTTATCCAGTGCTTTTTTGACGAAAGTGCTTGCTTTGAATAGCTTTTCAGTCCCGGCGGTCAAAGGTCAAGGTCACTGTTACCATGAATAGAAAATGAGTTTAGGCACACTATTTCCAATGCTGTTGGATGATTACATTCAGGCGTTATCAAGTGCTACCTCAGAGAAAATGCCTGCTTTGGTGCTTTGTTGGTTAAAGGTTAAGGACATTGCTACTTTAGAAAATATTTGCTTAGGATACAAATTGTAGCTTTTGAGGCATCGATGTCACATTTCAAGGTTAATGTTACTATAAATAGAAAAACATTTTATGCACAGTATGTGGAGCTCTTTTGGGCCGTATGCATTCCGACTTTATCCAGTGTAATAACATGTTTGCTTAAGCTTTTGAATAGCTTTTCAGCTTTTGATATCAAAGGTCAAGGTCACTTACTATATATAGAACATCAGTTTGTGCACTGTATTTCAAATTATGTTGGACTGATTACACTCAGATTTTATCGCGTCCTTCCTGGAAGAAAGTGCCTGCTTGGGATGACTTTTCTGGTCCAGTGGTCAAAGGTCAATGTGTCAATATAAATAGAAAATCTGTTTAATGCACTAATGCACAATATCTTGATTTCTCTTAGGCTGATTACACTCTTGACTTTATACAGTGCTTCCTCAAAGAAAGTGCCTGCTTGGGATAACTTTCCAGGCCCGGGGGTTAGGTCTCTATCACTGTTACTATATGAATAGAAAATCAGTTTATAAAAATGCACTTCTTATATTTTGAGTTCTGTTGGGCTGATTACACTCAAGACTTTATCTTTATCTTCAATAAACCTAATTACGGAGAATAGTCACGGTGGCATTTATTATATATATAAATATATATATATAAATCTTATTACCGGTGAGCTTGTAATAATAATAATAATAGAAATAAAAATATATTGTATATTTTTACAATGTTACATATTTAGGGAAAGTCTAGTTTACAATACGGCCCTGTTATGCATATATGTACAGACTTTATAAGACAATCATAATGGTAGAATGAAAATAAATACAATCTTAATAAAAGATGCATATATACATTGATAAATATCACAGATACCATTATGTATCACACTTATTACTTACTGTAAAGCATTTCTATATATTTCTTTTAACAAACATCTACACTGCCTAACTGTTGTATTGTTAGTAAATACATACGCACTATTTACAAGGCCAGGTGAGCTCACATTAGGGCCAAACCAAAGAAATGTATCCAAACACAAAGTGTCACTAAGTAAAGAGAGCTAAACTCAAAACTTTATCAAAGTCAGTGCCCTGGAAGATCATACAAAACTGATCCACAATTGATATATGATATACCTGAGTTAAGGTGTCATGGAACTTAACGAAAAGTCTAATTACGATGTAAGCTCTGACGGACGGGCGCAAAACGCCAATACTCAGGGCACCTTTCTCTACGTTACAGCGACATAAAAATAAAAATAGATATTTATGTACAAATGGAATGGGTATCTTTATGTTGTTGAGAGAACATTCTAGATCAATGAGATACTCACCAGGACTAGGGTTCTGAATCAATTATTTAAGGACGCTCAACGCCTGAACAAATAAGAGACGTATTTGCTTCGAACATCTGTATTGCTAATGGCATGCTGTACGAATATGATATAAAGATAAGTGTTGCTTTTTTTTTTAACTATGCCAGTTTTGGACAAAAGCACCTAAACATGTATTTGTCT